TTGCTTGCTTTGTTTCCATACAAAAGTTTTTTGGTGCTTAATTTGCTTTTTTATATGCTTTTTGATTTATCTGACTCCTTTTTCAGAATATTTTTTGTTTTGATTTGTTAGTTAAGTTTTGCTAGTTAAGACTTTTTTTCACCATTTTCTCTTGTGTAATTTGTATGACCACACTATGGCTGTGAGTGCCACCGATGCAAAGGTGTAGTGTCACCAAATGAATAAGCAGGAGATAAAATAGAAACTAGGGATTTGGTATTACAGTATTGAGTAAAAAATAGGGCCTACTTAAATTAAAGAAAATACCAATACATACCAGTACATCCTCTAACATTGAATACTGATGGTTAATTTCTATTCATGAATGTTATGTGTATTTGATGGATTTAAACAAAATTTTATATTCATATTTAGGCAAATATACACAACACATGCAGCAAGAATTGTCAATAGCAACTATATCACTGTCCTACTCGTAGCAGACAATCCAACACAAGGCAAGCATACACAGATGATTCTTTACACAAACTAAATCTCATTATGAAGTTTAGGGGGTGGAGTTGTTTTGATAGTATAATACATACTCAAGTATCGAAATGCATACCATCGTGTCGGGATTCAATATTTCAACATTACTTATGTCATCATCATAATAATCTTATCTTAGATTAATCAGTGGATCTTTCGAGTTGTTTTGGTCGTGAGAAAAAAATCCTGCAACACTCACATGAATTGAACGTGGACCTTGGGATTGGAAAGCAAGGATCTTTACCACCAAGCTATTCAACTCCATTTATGTTTATTTATCTTGTATGTACAGCTTTGCAGTTTTTTTAAATTCCGAATAGAAAGGTAGGTTGAATGTTATGTAGTTGACTAGTGATGCATTACACTGTATGAAGTAGGTCTTCACAACATACTTAGAATCATTCGTATGCATATACATCTTTATCACTACAGCATCTCTGATTTCATACAGTAAAATTAAAATATAATGATGTGATGGAGTTTGAATTTCAAACATTGGCACATGAGAAGCTAAACTCCCCCTGGAAAAATTACAACGAGAAAAGAATTTTGAATGCAGCCACCTGATCAACATCATCTATTAAAAATCATACTTAAGTCTGATGGATAAATTTGGTGTTTTTAGAATGTTTTCAGACTTACAATATTTTCAGAATACCATGCTTCATGGAACAAAGCTATTAATTTGGCACTTAAGTATTTAATCAAATATTCTAACATGAATATTTTATGAGAGCTTTTCATCAATCATGTGTATGTAGTTCGTACAGTCATAAACATCTCAGATTTATGAGCCTCCTCTCACATTCATTCTTCATGCATTTATGAGCACTTTCACACATTCATAAACTGCTCGTATTTACGATTTGCTTTCATTTGTAAAAGCTTGCATTTTAGGAGAATCCCTTCTTGCATTCATAAACTTCTTGGCTTGATGCGCATTTTCTCATAAATCAAAAGATTTTAATTCAGAGCATATTCTTATGCAAACATTCATCAAATTCTTTAAAAGATGAGCATCTTTCTCAACTTCATAAGCTTCTCACATTATCTCGCAAGCAATGAGAATTTTGTATTCTTCCATGCATCAATCAATATCTCATTCATCAATCAATATCTCATTCATAACCATGTCAAACTTACGAAAATCTCATATTTACTGTATACTGGGCTTCTCGCATTATGAATTTCTTACAATAATTATAAACTCATACTTGCGTGTCTACTCGTAACCTTAGCTAATTCACAACTTTCAAAAATATTTTCAAATATGATAGAACCCAAAGTACAAGTGAACACAGAGTGAATATAATGTACACGAAATGAAAACAGGTAGCAATTAACACTTCTGCATTAAAATCGGAGAAAAATCACCAAAATACCTGCTTCTGGAGGGCTGACCTCAAACGACCTTTCATTTATCTTAAGCTTAAAGTTTTCTTTCATCAAAACATCTATACTGGTTGATTTAGCTACCTTGATTCCATCTGAAAGACAAAACAGACAGTTATTTTAACAAATTAACAAATATTTTGTTTGAATAGTATAGGCCCAAATTATTTTAAATCTCACAGGCCAAAGAACCAAAGATATACTACAATACTGGACAATGCAATCAGAAATCTGTTATGAAGAAATAAAATACTATGTTTGAGATGCCTATTTTGTTAAAAAGAAATTAAGTTTGGCTAGTATGCAATAAAAGTGTAATAGTTGCAAATGGCTGAATGTTACATTAAATGTACAATAAATAATGCTGATGGTAAAATGAGGATGTTATGATGACTGACTTTATATTATTTTATAGCCTACAGGTTCATTGTATTATTTGACTTGTTTGTTATGATAATTTTGTACTGTACATGTAAAATCAACATACAGTAATTCTTGACACTGATATTAATTAAGATGACGATGACGAATATGATGCTGTTGACATATAATAATGATTTATTTATTTATTGCACCCCAACATATGTAAAATGCCAATTGCAGAATGTAAATATATTTAAATATATTTTAAAATACAATATAACACTATTTAAAATGTTAAACAATATTTCATGAAAAAATTATTAAGAATAACAAAGAATATCAATAAAAAAAACAATACAAAAATCACATCAAAAAATGCAATTACAATGTTAAACATTAAATAAAATGATGAGATGATAAATTAAAAATTGAATTAAAAAAATAATGTTCTTATTTCTAATGCAATTCTCTTTACGATTAAACTATTACAGTACATCATCAGTCACTTAATGACGTGTGCTATACTGATGAATAAAAAGTATAGCCGCGTTTATTCTGTACAGTATAAACAGCAGCACTTTTGAGACTAACAATATATAATTTATTCTCTAGCTCTCATCCACACAGTGGACTTCATTAGGAAACTGAAGACTGTGCTATACTGTACATAGACAACCAACACTTTTTCACAACCCCTGCTAGCAATACTGTACCTTTTTTGGTCCTCCTAATCCACACATCCGAATTTCAAAAACTGTACTGCACTATGAAAAACATTTCTATCAATCATATTTTCTTGCATGCAAGTTTGATTAGATAAGATAAGGCTCAATAAACAAAAATATTAGTTTATTGCCCTTGTATTGAAAAAAATATATATTATTTTTTTTACTATTTATTTATTTATTTAATTATTTTACAATAGTAAATAGTTAGTGGATGTTGTTTGTTGTATCTCTATCATGTTTTACTTTGAATATGCACCAGCAAACAATCTAAGAGTAATTTTTTGCTTTAGCAAAATTAAACAAAATGAAAACCTCCCTCCCTCATCACTTTTCCAACCTAAAGCAGATAGAGTGATAACTAATAATTTTTTTTTATAGGACCTAAACTTTATTGTCACACTCACAATCACAACAATGTAACAAGCAATTTTGTTGCTTAATGCAAAAACACCATAATACTGTACATGCCAATAAACTATAGTAAAAAGACTGAAAAAAAAATCACTTGACTATGGTAACAATTATGACATCTTTTCATATTCATTAATATATCAAGTTTATGAACATCTCGTTGTATTCATGAACATCTTACAATAATGAACACTTCATCATATTAATGATCGTGCCAATTTCATCAGTCTCATCACATTCATGATCATCTTATATTCATGATCATCTAATCACATCCATGACACCCCCTCCCCCCACTGATATGGGAGAGAGTCCTCCAGCCTATGCCCATACATGAAGCCAGTTTTACAATGCTTTGTGCTAAAATAATATTATACATTCATGATTATGTCACATTCATAATCATTCTCATCAAATTGATGAACATCTCACTGACCTTGTCAAATTTATGAACATCTCAACAAATTAATGATCATCTTAATACTGTACATTCATGGTCATTCTCACAACATATGGATCTCATCAAAATTTATGAACGTCTCATCACATTACTCTATTTATCTTGCCAAATGTATGAACATCTTTATCAAATTAATGATCATCTCAATACTGTACACTCATATCACCTCATCGCATTCATGACCATTCTCACAACATTATTGATACCATCAAATTTATGAGCATCTCATCAAATTAATGACCATCTCAATAGTGTACATTCATATCATCTTATCACATTCATGACTATTCTCACAACATTATTGATCTTATCAAATTTATGAGCATCTCATCACATTACTTATCTTGTCAAATTTACAAGCATCTCATCAAATTAGTGATCATCTAATACACTGTACATTTATATCATCTCATCACATTCATGACCATTCTCACAACATTAATGATCTCATCTCATCAAATTTATGTTCAAAAATCTCATTACTACTGATCTCATCAAATTTATGAGCATCTCATCAAATTAATGATCATCTTAATACTGTATTGAACATCCATCTTATCATATCCATGACCATTCTCACAACATTATTGATCCCATTATATTCATGAATGTCTCATCAAAGTTATGAACATCTCATCACTAATGTGCTTGCTAATGAGGCCAAAATCTACTAAGAACCATAAAAAATATGCCAAAAATTTACTTATTAGTAGGTGTTAAATAGGCAATAGTGCTATATCTACTAAGGATGATAGACCAGGGAGTTGTAACTCCCTGGATAGACTACTGTATAAAGCTAATAGTTATAGAGCTATATCTACTAAGACATTGTAATATGTGTTACTTTCTCATCAAATTTATGAACATCTCATCAAATTAATGATCACCTCACTACTGTACATTCATATCATCTCATCACATTCATAACCAATTCTCATCACAAATTGATCTTCATCAAATTCATGAACATCTCATCACATTATTGATCTCATCAAATTTTTGAATGTCATCAAATTAATGATCTTGTAAACATCATGAACATTTCATAAAATTCATGAACATCTCATCACATTTATCAATATCTCACCATATTATTTCTCATCTCATCACCTGATTGATAATCTAATCACCTTCACAAGAATCCTCAGTCCAACATGGTTTTCAATGGAAAGTCATTTCTAAAAAGTGCTATAGTGTAAGATGGGTATTGAGTTGTTTGCAAACCAATCTCCATAGAAGGGATTACATTTCAAGGCCTAGCAACATACAGTAGGCTTGCACAGCAGTCATCGAAAACAACAACCATATTTTCAGCTTACGATATTTCAGTTAATTTGTGTAATATATGGGCTTTCAAATAATTATCTGCTCATCTTTTTGATTTAAATGCACCAGATCCATAGCATTACACCATGGAAACACAGAAAGTAAAAAATCCATACACCAGCTATTAGGATAAAAGACTATGACGAGATGTTTACGAATTTGAATTGTAATCTGTGGTTTACAGTATTTTCTACCTACTGTACAGTAGCCTCGGTTCCAGACTATTTTAAGCCATCAGACAAAACAGCCTTGTTTTAGTTTTTAACATTATATTTTACTTCATTTTTTCTCAATAAATTTGTTATCTACAAAATATTAACAGTATGACATTATTTTGTAGATAACTAAATAATGTCATGCTGTTACTATTCCATTTACCTTTAAAAGGGCATTTTGGCAGGTTGGCGAACCAGGTTTTGCCAGGGTCTTATCTCAATATCGCAATTAAACTTCAAAGAAGAAGAGTCATTATCACAGCAAGCATTGCTGTTTGTCTATAAATTACCAGTATACTAGTATTTAAAAACCAGGCTGATAAGTTTTTAAACCTGTTGTTCATAAATGTTAGGCATTTTTATTACCTTACTGTAGTTGTAATTTAAGATAAAAATCATAATAGATACGTTTTTGAACTTTAAAAATCAATAACTAGAAGTTACGACATAGTTTTTGATTTATTTGTGCTAGTTTTTCTATAAACTATTCACAACTAATTAGCATCACTGTTAATCTTGTTACAAAATTCCCAGAAGCAGCAATTAATAAAGATAAGAAGAGATCGGCAAAACCTGGTGCAAAAATTAAAAATTTGGTATTAATAATGGGAAGATTCTTCATGTATCATATTATATTACTGTACAGTATATTCTTAATATTTTGAGGGTCCCCAATCACCAGTGGTTCAAATAAATAAATAAATAAATAAATTTAAAAACGGTGACATGTGTCTCTTTTAACCTTTGAACCATTTGCAATTTGGTACAGTACCCATTCAATTTGTAATTATTGCTTCTTTCTTTATTTGATTTAAATTATGTATTTGTTTATGTTGCTTTATCTTGTCACCATCTAATATATTATTCTTTTACTGGTACAGTACCATAGAACACACATGTGCGATAAAACAGAGATGTTAACCATGAGATAAAATCATTTGTATGGAATACGTACAGATGGTATAATACGAAATAATGTTTCAAACCTTGGATCAAATCTTGAAAACCCATATCAACTACTCCAATCAACAGAGAACTGGTAATGAACATTTCAAATTTCATCTACTTTAATTTCATTACATGTTGCTAGCAAGCTTAATTAATAAGAGTACTTGTATTTGTTAAGATCACAATCAATTATTCCATCTGAGAACCAATCAGAATCAAGTAAACTAAAAAAATAAATTATTACAGTACTTTGAAATTTGGTGATGCATTGTTAACGTTTATTGTAATGAAATATAATAACTGGTCACCACTGACAAGTTATATGTTGAATATAATTGAATTCTTTATGGAAATTGATCAGTATTTCATTTATTATTCCTTTACTATACAGTACGTCTAATTCACCCAATGATAAATGATAATACAAACTGTTGACAGTACACTATACACCTAAATAGATCCTTGTAAACTTGATTGATTGATAGATTTTATATCATATGATACTATGGGTACTTACACCATGTACTGGCAAACTAATCCCTACTGTATTTATATCTGCATCATTCTTTGTGAGATTTTTACTTCCAATGCATTTGTTGTCACAACAAATTCTGAGCAAATTTAAATAAAATTCTTGCTAGCTT